AGTCCAACAGCTGCACCAAGTGAGAGCTAGCCTACAGCACAGGAGGCTAAATCCACAGTAGAGAATGTCTGCAGAGCCTGTTGGCACTCTCAGGGCCCTGCCACTAACTTTACTGGGGAGACAGAGGAAATGTCATCCATGAGAGAGAGTTTTACAAATCTCAAATAGGAGAACAGAAACAGACAGGGGTATCCTGTATCCTGTACTGCCTAAAATACTGTGTTCTGTGGTAAATCTGGTTTATGCTTGATCATATGAGACCAAAATATTTTAGATATGAAAGAAACCATATTCGGAGATGTAGTTAATATATAAAGATGATCACTCACTTCATGAAACTTAATACATAAAAACAAAATAATTCATCATAAGATAGCAGGAAATACAATTTTTGAGAGTTACTGGTGAAGAAATTCCTATGGTGGTGTTTTTAAAAGTTCAGTAATGTCATACAAATGTTTGTAGCACCTGTGGAAACACTATTTTCTGAGAATGAAGTTGTATCTAAAATAAAAATTCTACATGATAACATGTTTATTAAAAAGAAAAAAAATGTTGTTGTTGTTGATGAATGTAAAGATGGAAGACATTTCCCATGTGGGCTCAGCACTGAGAAGCATTCAGCTCCCAGATGGGATCAAAACAGGAAAATAAGCCTTAAACAAAAATATTTTATATTTTCATTTACCACTGGGAAAAAAATATTTTCTTACATTCTTAACAAATCTTCTATTTTCTATATGCATGAAGTTCTATAAGGAAATGGTAGTGATTCACTAGAACAATTAAGTAATTTTTCCTTTAGAGAAGTAATTTACTGTGATGATGTTATCTGGGTCCTTCCATCACCCACACCACCATGGCTGAGGAATGAATCACTATAAAGCTCTACATACTACCCAGTAATTCAGACTTAATGTGTTGAGTGTAAGACTGAAGGTCAACAGCTATGACAGTATATAGGCATAAATTATTATTCCACAAATTCCCATCTCAGAGAATCTTACTGCATGGCATAAGACTGGGACATGGAAATAAAAAGACCTTTATTGGTACAAATTAGAACGACCACATTTCTTAAAAATTAATGGAGAATTTTGACCTTTTAAAACCTCTGTGAGAACATAGTGAAGCATTTTTTGCATGACTCTGGATTAACTTCAGAGACACTCTGACAGAGTAAGTAGCACAGTGATCAGTATTAATTCTACGTGCTGAGCAGTATCTGAAGAAATATAAAGACCAAGAAACCAGATAAAATATTCAGAGCTGAAAATACTGCTGCCTGCATACCAATTGACATGTTTGGCCTTTCTCTAGAATACTCCTACAAAATGAAAATTAAAATGAGATCTTATATTGCTATAAAATTAGCATGATTAAAACCCCTCGACTTGTGTAAAGAGATTCGATTCAATAGTTTCAATTCATTTTAATATTTCTTGTGTCCATAAGAGTAATACATATATAATAGAATAATATTATATTTTTATATATATTTGAAGTTTTTATGTAAGTTGTGGCATCTTCTTTTTCTATTCCACCCTTTAGTAGTAATATATCAGTGGGACTTGGTTGTATTCACTTTCATGTTTTTAACTGTATTGTACTGAAAGCTGTTAGATAATAAAAATATTATGTACCAACTTGGTTGACAAGTAAGATTTACACTTCCTCTCTTTGAAGAAAGAGCAGAATATTTGTAACAAAATGCTGATCTTTGGTAACAGATGATGCTGCAGTATTGACTGCATCTGGGTTGAAAATGGCTGAAAAGTGCAGGTGTCTGCTGTCTTAGTCCCCTAGGAAAGGAAGAAACACTACATATGAAAAGGGACATACGTATATTCGGTATTTATCTTTCCTTGGACTTCTGAAGATTGTCTACTGCATCCAAATCCAGCCATTGTCTGAAAAAGAAATCACCCAAGGCCTGAGTCCTGACAGACCTATGAACTTCTGCTATCAAACAATGTGGTATCCTTAGTTCTGGACTTATTAGAGCCTCGCTTTACTTTTCTAATATTACAACAGTAACATTACATGTAAACCTTTCAAAAGCTACTAAAATCTGGAATTTTACTTCCTTCAGCAATGAATTATTTGGCCAATGGGCTAAGATGGCTACAAATGCACAATAGACTGAAGCAGGCACCACTAGAAGAATCTTTGCCCCCAGGTTACTATGAGCTCCTAGAGCAGTATTCAGCTCTATATCCAGACACACAAGTTTAGGTACATGCAACATAAGTTTTAGCAGGCTAGCTGCTTGTTACAGATGCAGATCTTGTCAGCTGTGGACAATAGGGAACTGCTTATCTCACCGTAACTTTGATGTCTGTATTTGAATAGTTCTCATTGTTTCATTGACTGTGTTAACTCTCTGTTGCTCTTGGACTGCAGCAGGAGCTTAGACACAATTAGCTTGCATGCAATTGTCTGCACTGCAGACACATAAACATAGGTGGTGGAATCTCAATCTCAGTCTCCTTGTTTCAGTCAATATTGGCCACCACCTACAAAAAAAAAAAAAGACAAAGTTAATTGAATTATATCCCAGGCAGGATAGACTAGGGAGCAGACCAAATACTGGACTACTCTCTGCTTTAAATATGACAAGCTTTTTCTCTTTTGTGTGAACCAAAATTGTTTCCTGAACACTGAGGTGGTATAATTTTAATGACATAAGCAAGAGACTATCATACACAAGAAGAACTGATAATATATTTTATATTCTTGTCATGGTTTGACACTGGCACAATGCCAGCGCCCCCATGAAAATACAACCTCTCAATTGAAATGCGATTGAGGACAGAGCAAAGCAGGCCCAAGCTTAATAACAAGGGGAAAAAACCTATTAAGCTACTACTACTATACTACTATAAAAGAAAAAAAGAAAGAAAAACACACACAAAATTCAAAATGAAAACCTTTCAAAACAATCCTCCTCCCACCATCCAATTCCAACAAACCTCAGTGAGACACATTTGGACCCTTAATCAAGTATTCACCCTTCAATATAATCAATACTAAATCCGTCAGGGGAAACAGGAGTCTCCCTTGCACCAT